GTGGGACCTAGGAAGTGTGCCTTCTCTGTTGCAGCCCCCACCCTCTAGAACAGCATCCCCCCAGAGATAAGGATGGCACCCCCTCTCCTGGGGTTCTGGAAAGCCTTGAAAACTTGGCTTTTGGTCCCAGGCCTGGGGTTGATGTTTGTCATTGTTTAGTGGCTCCTGTTTTGTTTTGTGGGGTTTGTTAGCAGAGTATTTTAGTCTGGGCTGCCTCATGATTTAATCTTTCTCACTGTTTTTATGTTTTTCAGTTTTGTATGCCACCCAGAGTCCACTGGAGTTGGGCAGCCAATAAATTTAAATAATAAATAAAATAAAATAAAATACAATGAGAACAATTCTGAAAATATCAGAAAAGTAGAATATCTTTAACTGTTGCTATTTTCCTCTAAAGTAACACAGAGCTAGAGTGTTGTTTTTTTTAACTGTTTCCTGTACTCCACTTTTGCTTGCATGGCTGATTTTAAAGTAATAGTAATATAAGCAATTATCTGAGTAAAGAACTCATTTTATGTTATTATAGTGGTTATATAACCATAGATCTGCACAGTTGAAGACACCAAATGGCCATGTAGCCTAAAGACAAATACAGAGTCAGTTTAATCATTCTTCTTCCAACCTTGATCAATCTATACAAATCCATTTTCAACAGGCCGCACATGTAAAAGTACCTACAAGCTGGTTATGTAATAATAACTCTGGATGAGTCATACTAATGCATTTTGCCCGTGAACACTGAATAGACCATTTTTTATTCTTATGCAGCTAAAACATGTCATAAAACAAAGGAGAGGAATTGATAATGGCATACTAAAACCTTCGGGTGACAATATTATTATTATAATTATTATAATAATTATTATTACTGTTGTTGTCATTTCAGTCAATTTATGTGGCCACCCATTTTGCAACAGCAACTCTGGGCTCAATGCTCAATAGAACCTAACAACAACAATATACAACTTATTTCCCAGCCCCTACTGGATATTTCAGCATCTGAGAAAACAACTTCCTTGCCTTGCTTTTTTGTGAATTCTAACCACATAAGCTTTAATTGAACCAGTGGTTTTCAGGATGCCTATTTAACATTGAGAAGAGTTGTTTTCTTGTGCTACTTGGTGAGAATATTCTCTTGTTGCCTCCACTCCCAGCCTCTTTGACTCCTAAACAGCTGTAAAGAGAGATGATTTTAATTAGGATGCTTGTAATCTACAACTACCAGTTTCCCTTTCTTTTCCCTTGTAGGATTCTTATGGTCGCTATTTAAAGTCTCCAATATACAAAGAAATGTTGTCCAAGGCAATCACACCACAAGAAGCAGTTAAAAAAAGGCAAGTCATCTGAGGTTTAATTATGGTTTCTTCACTATTGGTTTAAATTAGGGACTAAGGGAAAATGGCTATGATTTAGACATTTGCACAATTTAAGGTGGTCTTTCCCTGGGGAAAAATATCTGACTTCCAGATAATCAGATACATCATGTTCTTAAATACTTATATTACAGTACTTATCAATAAAGATTTCATAAAAGGAAGATGAAGATACCTCAAAGAGAGAAAACCATGATTCTTTTTTTCCTGTATACTTTCTTTTTACAATTTCAAGATGTCATAGAATTAGAACTTAGATGCTTCCATAATAGCCTTTGGAAGTGACTCCATATTAATAAAATATAACATGTGTATATTTAACTTACATCATTTGCATAAGATAGCAATCTCATTTTGCACATGCATAGCCACTTCCCATGCAGGGGAGACAGAAGCAGCTTCTGAAGGAGCCATGGAAGTCTGGAAGAAGACATGCCTGCATAATGATTAAAAAGGGGGTGCTCTGTATGTGGTCCTGGGTGTTCCAAAGCACTTCTTTCAAGGAATTTGCACAGCCCCAACATGCAAGGAGTCAAAGCCATGACAGCCTCCTTCTGATTTCCCAATATTCCTCAACATATAATAGGGGCAGAAAAATCTCATTAAAGATCAGTTGAGAGTTAAAGTGAACCTTTCTAGCATCTGATCCAAATATATTTATCATAATTTTACTAATACATCTACTGAGCTTATTTCCACCTAATGTTTTGTACGAAGTGCCTTACATAATAAAATAGAACAGAATAAAAAAGGTACCTATCCATAGTTTTGCAAAATACTGAGCTTGCAGAATACTATTTGGTTAGCATCTTTTTGAGATACTTATCTGTAATCCATGTGGCAGTGTTGCAACAAATATTTACAATGAGCAATAAAGGGGATCAACTATAGATATTTATAGTGATAATATAAACAAATTTCTGCTTGCACAACAGGGTTTTGCTCAGTTTCCTTCTCCCTTCTACTTTAGAGTATTTGTCAACTTTCCATAAAATACTGGGGGCCAGGCACTTAGATAGGTGGAAAAGTGATGAATTTCCCATTCTGAAGCAGTCCCATCATTTTTGGATGAAGACATAATGTTTGTGGATTTGTTTAGGGCTATACACAAACACACACAAATGCTGGATATTCTGGCTACTTTTCATGAAAACTGCTTTCTACTAATTGAGTTTCATTGCTCTTTCCACATTGTTTTAGTTTTATATGAGGCTGCATCTAGACTGTGAGGCATATGCTGAATTCAGTTGGAATGTAAACTTAAAACTAATTGTAGACATTGTGATTGAAGAGAGGAGTCTATGGTAGCCAAAAATCAGGAGGAGTGCTGATAGCACTCTTTCAGACTAACAAACGTATTAAAAGGCATAAGCCTTTGTGAGCTATAGGTCACTTCCTGAGATGCATGGACTGGATGAATTCCTTCTGATTTAAATTAATTGATTTAACTGAGGCTAAAATCTGATTGTCTAGTTCTAATACAATGCTTTTACAGATGTAAGACACTTTTGCAGTTTTTTCTTCTTTTTATTGAAAGGCAGTAGAAATATGTTAATAATGATCATAATGATTGTAATTATTATATATGAAGGCCAAACTAGATATTACGACAATAGGGTAACATTTAAAGTAGGGAGGGGTGGAACAGTTTCAAACAGAACCAGTGGGTAATGGGTATCTGGAACTGTTTTATGCTGTATAAAAGAAGCACAAAGATAAGATTTGTTTCTTCCTCCTGAAAAATCTCTTTGCCCCCACAGGGCTCATTACTGGATTGGAGGCAGTGGGGGGAAAAGTAGTAAAGTGCTATAATATTTTAGCACACTATTATTATTACCATTTACACAGTTAGGCAGATAACTTTGTTACGAGCCATGGAGGCGAGTATTATATTCCTGTTAATATCCATTTGAATGGCCTTACTTTAAGAAAGCCATCTGAATATTTTAACAGGGTAGAGATAGTACTGACAATAATTGGACCTTCTTGGAATGTGCAATTTGGATCTTTTTAACTGAAGAGAGTTCAGAGTTACTCTGTGAAAAAGAATGTCCAGACAGAGAATTGCTGAAGCATAATTAAAACTAGATTTTAGCAAAAGCAGATTATGTGCATGTTTGAATACTTAAGTATAACTTGGAGTATTTTATACCTTTATTTTAGGAATTTGCATTTTATACAACAATTGTATTTGTTGTGATAAAACAACGATGTCTTCATTAATATGAAGTGTGAAGGGCAGATGCATATGTTTAAATATGCAGTAAACACAAATTTGTTTGTGTAGATATTTCCCAATGCAGTGTAGATATTTCCCAATGCATGACCCTGAATGTTGAGAATTATGTCCCTGCCCTTCATATGTTACATATTTACAGCCAGAAATACCAGAGCTATGGTTGTCCAATTATGGCAGGCACCATTGCAAGAGAAAATGTGAAGCAAACTGTGTATCTTAATTCCATGTTATTTTGATATATGCTAATTTTGTATCACTCATTTCCTTAAGTCGCCATGTTCTTTAGCTTTTCAAAATATTATAGGCTGCAAGTAGGAGTTTCAAATGTCTTTGAGCTGGTGGGTACATTTGGAATTTTGGAAGCATGTTGTGAGCACTTTTATGAACTGGTTGCCAAATGAAAATGTGCCTATTTACGCAATGTCTGCCATGGTAGCTCTGGCTAGTCCTAAAACCCCAGTTGGTCTAAGCAAAACAACATGCCCAAGAAGTGAAGTAAAAGACCAACATGGATGCCAAATCATGCTTTCCACCTACAAAGTACAACAGAATATACCCGTTCACAGGAAACAAACTAGTGATGCTCAGAGAAAGGACATAAAGAAAAATGCACAGATTAACTATGCTCCCACAATGTGTGTGTGTACCCATGTACCCATATTTATTGTACACACAGACACACACAGTCATATACACACATAAACTTTAAACACACATACACACTTCATGCACATACTCCATACACACCCATACACATTTCATACACACACTTCATACACACGCACTTCATACATACTTCATACACACACATATGCACACTTCAAACAGTTCGTTCACACATACTTCATACATGTTTCATACACACGCGCACACACACACACACTCACTCTTATAGGATCCAGAGCCAAGCTTGGAAATAAAGATGATCAAAGGAGGCTGGCCTTTGTATACCAATTTCCCCAGTAATTCTTTCTTAATTAAAATGTTAACATTTAAGAGAAGAGGAAGCTTTTGTTGACGTTGTGTTGTCTTTCCTGGTCCTCCGCAGTAACCCTCGGCTTTGTTTTTTTGCTTCCAGCTCTAATAATCCGTTTGTCCGCAAGCACCTCCGCTCCAGTCCTAGCCCCATCCTCTTGAGGCAGCTGGAGGAAGAAGCCAGAGCTAAGGAAGCTGCAGCCAATGTGGACATCACCCAGGTTATGAGCAAGCTGGACCGTAGAAGCCAGCTCAGACAGGAGGCCCCGCCCGCTAACTAGGGCCCAGGTGCTGTAAAGCACAGGGCAGGAGAAAGGCCACAGAGCCACGAGGATGCTGGCTGCACGTAGGGCTGCGTTTCCTCCCCCCAGCCTGCAGGTGCCACTGGGGTTTCATCATTGGCAATCCATTTCTCTCTCTCTCTCTCTCTCTCTCTCCCTCCCTCCCTCCCAGCGACAGCCGGCTGTTGTCATGGCATCCAGAACAGTGTCACTTCATCAGCCCTTGCTGATAGAACCCTAGAACGCAGATGGCAAAAAAGTCACCTTGCAAGCGTGGCAGTGACGTTTCCCATATTAGTTGAGCTCGTTCTACACTCTGTGTTCTGTAAACTTCCCTCCCACATCTACAAACTCTAAAGTCTGGATACCATGGCAACCAGCTGCCTGGCCTCTCTGTGCCTGTAAATAACAAAGAAAAAGGGCTGAACAATCCTATTGCAAGGCGTCCACCAGAACTGAATCTTCTTTCCAGATATAAACTATCTGGCCATTGCCTAGAGAACAATTCAGGAATTTGATAAGGAGACACACTGAGGAAGGAGGCTAGATGACACATTTAAATAATGGTGCATATTCCAGATTTACTTTATGTTGGTTGGTATACCCATTAATATCATTTAACCATCTTTTCATATTCAGAATGGTTAGATATTGACCTACAATGGGTTGTTTTCACTTTCATTTTAGAAAATGTGTGCAGGTAATGTACAGATTCTTTTTTAGCTTTAATAAGTGTGATCTAGGTTAATATGCAGTAGTAGGATAACATCTTTCTGTACGGCATATATTTCAGATTTCCTGAACAGTTTAAAGATCCTAGCTGCTCAGGTGCGTAATCATTTGCCTGATGACTATTTAAAGGAAAGCCCTAAATGGATTCTTACAATTCTACTGGACGAATTTATTTTCTATTAAAGGATATGCTGTCTAATGGAGAAGATCAATATCCTCCACCAAATTCCGAGGTGAAAATACCATTAGTTTCTCAGTGCAGAATGGTTACCCCAGAATGGAAAACCTAATCTCTTAAGGGGTAGAGGAAGCTTGAGGGTGCTGGAGTGAAAACAATGCAATAATGGAGTAGTATAAGAAGAATTTTTCTAACCTGCTTACAGAACCATACAGTATCTGTTGGACTTTTCTAGAGAGCAGTTCTTTGTAATTTCATCAGGCATGACATTTGCACTGGTATTCTACACGACTAATTTCTCACAGTGTCAGCATGAATAGAACTTTATGCTAGAAGAAAACTAGACTGGATAGTTTGTAATGGAGCGCTCCTTTCCATGCAGCCTGCATGGGAGCCATTTTCCTTTTCAAATCTTTCTAGCCTGAGGATCTGAAGATGACTTTCTCTGCATTTAAACTTGTAGTAATCATGGCAAACCAATTGAGTGGTATGCTAAGTATATGCCTGTCATTTAGGCTTGACTGCCACATGGCTCCAAGCAGGCACAGGTCAGAGGGCCTTGAACTGTATTGATTGGAAACGCCAGAACAAATGTATTAGTTCTTACTTTCACCATGAGCAACATCAGCAAAATCTAAAAGCTTGCCTAGTAGAAAGGTGAAGATGAATTGCAGGATCAACTCTTTGTTTAAATAATTTTCAGCTATTAATCATGGGTATGAGTTTGAGTTTCAGTGGTATACGAACAACTAAGTGGAATTGGGGCTCATATAACTTCTCAGTATGTTTCATTTATTTTCAGGCAAGTTAGTTCAGTTACACAGATACTATTTCTATCATTTGATCTAGCTGTGCTTAGGTTGACTTTCAGTTTTGACCTTTTTGTCAGCGCTTTTCATCATCTCTTGCAAAATACAAGGAACGGTTTGAGAATCTCTGTGATACTGGCAGACTAGAATACCATAGTCAAAAAGGCCATGAGAAAATACCAAGGATGTGATCTTAAAATAATTCTAGGAGTGATAATTTCTGTTAGATCAAAGAAATCTAAATGTAGCCCAGCAGCACTGCTATAATTTAGGCAGAGCTTCATGAGACTCTCAGCTTTGAAAATGCAACTATGGAGATTAATTAAAATGTTCTGTCTATTTAGAAAAGTCAACATTGTAGCTATATAATACACCAAAATAATGTTTTGAAACTCTTTTGGGTAACTTCAGGGTTCCTTAGAATCTTTTCAAGGGTTCTTTAGGAATAAATTAATTATTTAGAAAATGTATATCCTATGCCTGAATATGTTTTAAAGAAGACTAATAATAGATAACGGCTCTAGCGTACTACAATCATAGGAATTGCAAGCCACCCCGATAGAGAATAAACCTGGCTGCATTGTTCACAAGCCTTAGGCTGGATGTCAGGCAGCAAGGTGAGGGTCATTTTTCCCCAGTTAAGAATATTGAAGAAACTAAGGTCTAGAGACACATGTGCAAATGCACATTCCTCTAGAGATATTGAGGAAGGGACAACCCAGTTTGCAGAAGCTTCTTAGTAGTCCAGGTTTTTTGGCAGCTTCTAATGACTTAATGCTAGATTGTAGCTGGCATTATGGCAGCCCAATTTCTTTGTGTGTGGTAAGACTACAGTACATATAATGTGTATACACAATGTCAAACCACACAACCCAGCAGCTCTTGATTTCCTGACCCTTAACTGAAGCAGGAATGTGCTTTCTTTTTGCTCTCCAATTCATGCAACTACAGTAGGAATTCAGCATTCCTGCTGGCAGAGATAAGATACTACCTTTATTTCTACGCCTGCTTGTTTGACCATGGAATGGGGGCCAGACTGATCTACCTCTTGCCATGATTCTTTTCACTTTTTCTAAGGAAGGACAGCAAGAATCTGTTTCCCTTCAGCTTTTTAGTCTCAGTTCAGTAGTAGCCACTTGAGAAGCTGTTCATCAACCACCATGCCATGTTTTTTTCTACAATGGCGTGCACATGATGGGTTCTAGTTCTAGTTCAGGTGGAATGACTGTATAATTAAAATACAGTATATTCTAGTAATTAAATAACATAGCTGAAACCATGTTGTTGGCCTCTAGTCTTCCATGCTGTCTTCCATCTGTGGCTTGGTTAGCATATATAATCTGTAAGATGGTATATTGTTATTGCTTTTTATTTTCTGTCCAAAATAGAATGAGCTTCACCTTACAAGCAACAGGGGGTGTCTTTTACAAGCAACACCTTACAAGGGGTGTCTTTTAATTATTTACCCAGACTTGTCATACTTTTTTTCCTTCATTTCCCTGAGTTAAATAAAAATAGAACTTGAAAAATCACTCTGCTTGTCTTTCATTGTCTTTGTCTCCTTCCATACATTTTTATTTTGTCCATGTGTTTACCTTTATCACTTTAATTTGAATCCTTTTTCTTCTTTAGAAATTGGTACATGTAGAAAGTGAAATGCTCCAAGGAAGCTTGAAAAGGCTTAGTTCATGAGTGCAAAATTAACTAGGCATCTACTTAATACGTTAGCATTAAATCTTATTACGTATCTTGAACATATAGTATTATATTCTAAAAACATACTTGGATACAGTAGTTTAAATGCATTATTCAACTAGGTGTATTTATAGCAGTAATATCTAACTGTTTCCTAAAGTCCCTTACTTAAAGCTTAATATGAAATATACACAGCCGGATCTTGAGAACTTTTACTTAGAAATAAGTTAGCTTGCATTGTGAGACCTACTTCTACATATATGAGCATTTGAATGTAAATGTGAAAAAAATATCCTAAAAGAACATTTATAATTCTGTCATTATGTGCTCCTGTCCTCACTAGGAAAATCAGATTTGCTGAGTGCATGATTGTGTTAATGTAGTGTATATAGTGGACCTGTTCTCCAAGATATCTAAACATTACCCCATTTCAATATTTTGAAAAATATTTTCAGTTATCACCAACTTAGTATCTGTGTCAGATTGCACCATTCAGTTACAGCTTGATGAGACAATGCTACAATCCTTTATCGCCTCTTAATTTTTCATTGTACATATGTATGTATTTTAGGTGTGCAATACAGTGTACAAAATTAAATGATTAAGATATAATAGGCTCTCCAAAAAATAAACAAATTGAACAGCAGTTTAGAGAAATTAAATCAAATACTTTCCATATCTGTTTGGGGGAATTTCTCAAGATCTGAAGATTTTGTACAACCCTGAATACGTAGCAAACATAATTTCATAGCTGCACTTGCATCAACATGTGTTATAGTATTTTACTATTTTCCCTATTCTAACTTGTTTCAAGATTGTGCATAAATCTACCCTCCACCTTCCATATTTTATGATTATAGCCCATCAGCTAATCCTTGTTCATCATTTGATGCTGAATTTATTTGGCTTTATTATTACGAAAAAAAGATTCAAGGTGGAATATTTTAACCTAGGTCCAGGGGCTAGATTAACCTAATAATTTAACTATGTATTGACTGATTATGTGACATCAAGTCATTTTCGACTCCTAATGACCACATAGATTTTCTCCATGACAATCTATTCCTAACCTGTTCTTTCAGGCCTCCCAGTGCTGAACTATACTTTAGAACTTATCAAAGGTGGTATGAATATAAACAAATATCTATTATTCCTAATAGCTGTTGGTTATGCACACATACACATGCTCCCACCCACCCACTCACACTCTACTTCTGCAACCAGGAAAATACATTTCTATGTTCCTGAGAGCTTTTAACTTTATTTGACAGTGCTTTTTATGTTTGGTTGTAAGTATTTATTGCCTTTGAGTCCTCTTTTCTATTTTGAACATCCTTTTGCATATCATGTGGAAAAAAATAACTATATATATAAAAGAAATATCGAGTGGGATAAACTGCTTGGTAATAATAGGGGAAAACAGATGGCCTATGTATGCTCTTTTTGGGGTGAAATAGGGCGGATGGCTGGATTTGTTAGTGCATCAAAACTAGCTGACATGATTCTGTCTGCAGTAATCCTGCACT